ATTTCTAGACTTCACCTCTCACCTCTGCCTTTCCTCAAACCCTCTCCTGTCATTGAAATTTGAAATGAGGCTGTGCACCAGCAGCTGAAAGCCAGATCTGTCGAATCTGATCGACTTTGGGGGCTCGGATTAACTTGGAAGCAGCTTTCCAGCCTTGGGGAAATGAAGAATGAGAGGCAGAGCCTGAGACTGTGCCTTGGGCTTGTTTATTCAGCTCCCAAGATATGAAATTCATCCCATTCCCTGTAGGCACTCGTGTGTTTGTTCTGGGATGGATGTCCCACCACCCTCCTGTGCTGCCCCAAGTACTTCCATATCCAAAGGCTGGATTTCCCCATGGCTACTTTGCTGGATGCTCTCAGGTCCAGCATGGATCATTCACGTTGAAAAACAACCCTCCTGCAATGATGCTCTGCAGCTCTCTCTTTTCACCTGTGGGCGATGGATCTAGGTTGGGAATGGATAACTGGCTGACAGCCTGGTGTGCCTTTGGTGCCATGGACTGAATATCCTCCAGTGTTTTTGTGCTGTTCTCAGAGGCTGCTGGAAGCCACCCAGAAGTGGGTGCCTTTCCAGGCTGGATTTGGAAACCTTTTGAGATGAAAGCTGTTAGTGTATACAGATATCATTTATTAGCAAGGCAGACAGGTGAGAATCAGGTTTTCTCAGCTCTCAGAAGATGGATAGATGCTGTAGGCAGTACATCAGTCTCTCTGGTGGCAGAACAAGCATGCCAGGCCATGAGGGTGCATGCTGAGATGTGGTTTTGGTCATCCTGAAAAATCAGGATGGGAATGGGCCTGGTCATTTGTGTCTTTTCTCTTTGCTTTTCAATGCAGTTTCATCCATTTTCCAGGATTTTGATCCAAAGGCTCATGTGTAGTCTGTGTAGCTAGGGAATATGACCAGCTCTGTTCAGTGCTGGGACAGCTCCTGATCCAGTAAGATGTGATGCGGATGCTGAAGTCAACTGGGTGGTGCTGGTTTAGCATCCAGAGGGTGCACATGCACTTAGGTCAGAGAAGGTCCCAAAAATGTCTTAGTCCTGTAATACATATCAACCTCTTGTGCTTTGGGGTCCTAATTTACTCTGGATTCTAAAGTGTCTGAGTTTTGATGGGAAAGGCACTGCTCCAGCACGGGTCCAAGCCCCATCCCTGCCTCAATGCCAAGTAGGATAATTCCAAACATCACAACCTGACATAGCCCACAGGAACCAAATGTCAGACTCATCCCATCCTTTCTCAGGGTGCCTGTGAGCTGCCGAGTGACAGATGCCGTGTTGTTTCTCCAGGCATTTCCAGAACCCTTTGCTCACTTGCCTCAGGAGTCAGAAGAAAATTTTCTGGCAGTTACAGCTTTTTCTGCTAGCAGTTCCTTGTGAATAAGGGCAGAGCATATTCCTCTGTCAGTAGGGATATTTTGTTTGATATCCAGGGATTTTTTACAGGGCAGTGGGAAACCCCAGGAAAAGAGGATGAGCTTGATCGGAGATTTTTTTTTTTTTTCACTCTGCTAGGGTATCAGATGTATGTCAACAGCAGGAGAAGGAAAAACAGGGAAAGAGAGACAGGAAGACAGCAGCAGGCAGGGAAAGGGGATCTGGGCACATCTGAGCTAGTGGGGACAGATCAAGGCAAGGGTGTTTTGAGAGGTTCTGCAGAAAGCGGTGTGTAAAGATGATTTTTTTTAGGGTCTATTTGTGCTTGTGCGCATGTATGCATACACATGAAAGAGTGACATTCCTTGGCCTAGTCCAGGCTGCTGCATCCAAAGTCCCATGCCACCATACAAAACCAAGTTGTCTCCCTGGTCCAGGGCAGATGGACGTAGTGCAAGGCACAGAACTGCATTTGGCATCCCCAGCATGGATGTGGGGCATGTTTGGCTCAACCTCAACTCAGCAAAGCTTTTAGACTCCCAGATTCACTGGAGTCAGTGCAAACTAGGTGCATAAACACCTTTGGTATTCCAGGTTCCAGTTGCACCTTGGTTCCTGTGTGGGTCTATCTAGACTTCTGGTAAGACCTGACTTGTGCTGTGTTTCTGAGCCGTGCCCAGTACAGTGGATTTCTTTGCTATCAGTGGGCTAGGAAGCACTGCCGCATGATGTATGCTCAGCAAAAGGAGCAAAATGCTCAGAAAAATGACTGGCGTAGGAAGAGAAAGGCAGGAGAGGTAACATGGTCTCCAAGCTGGAGCCAAGGGATAGGATTAAGCAGGGATGTCTTCCAGGTATGTCAAGGCTAGCTAGACTCTTGATGTGGCTACTAACCTAGCAACTTGGGCAAATTAACTGATGAACACCCAGGTGATAGATGCCCAGCACAGAAGCATTAACTCTTGCATTTAAACAACATCTTTCCATCTGCAGGTTGCAGTCCTTTGTGTATATCCCTTGTGATTTTGTTGATTTGCAGCATAGAGGAGCTGCATTCAACACAGCTACCCATTGTGTCTCTGACACGTGTTGAGCCAAAGAAGCAGGTGATAAGGGTTGTCTATTTACTTCTTCTGCATAAGAATATATATAGAGAGATTCCCATTTCAGCAAGGATCAGTTGAAAGAGAAAAAACATATATATGTTTATGTTCCTCATGGTAAAACCTTCCAGATGGGACTGCATTCAGAGGAAATCAATTCTGAGACCTAACAGCCATAATACAGTGTCCCATTAACAGGTCCACTTAGTTAAAGTTTGCTGTCTTTTATGGTGCTGTCAGTGGGAGAGCAGGAGGGATGCATGTTGTGCCTGCTGCATCCTTATTCAGCAGCAGACGTGAGAAAAAAACGGGTTCGCAGAGGGCAGGAGCCTTGGGCATCGGAGTTGCCCTTTGGCACTGGATCTCAGCGCAGTGCTGGCTCCTAACCATCTCGTTGCCATGGAGCCGTGGACGGCTCTCGCTTCCGAGCCGGAGAGAGGGATGTTTCTTCCCGGGCTGCACCAGAGGTTAAGATTATCCAGGCTGGCTCATTGCTGCGAAGACCGGGTGGACTTTGACTTTGCAAACAGCTGTAACCGCTTCCCAGTAGCGTGAGATGCTCACCAGGATCTGCCCACAAGCCAAGGAGAGGCGAATTGGCTCTCCCCTCCTCTCCACTCTCTTTCAAGATGCAGCTAAGCAGGGATCCTTCACTCCCAGAGCTGACATTTAAAGTGTTTACAGTCATTTGGAGGCAACCCCTACTGCTAATCAGAATGACCTCTTTGAAAACAAATGGTTTGCCATTTTCATTGTGTCTAAGCATTGTTTTGCCTCTGCTAAGAGGGTGGCTTTCCTGAAATCCAGCCCTCGAGAAATCCAGGAATCTGGCACAGTGCATTTTGCACTGAGGAGTTTTGCAGGCTGCAAACCAGTGTCAGGGCTGGGAGTTGGACTTTTAAAAAATTTAAGTGCAAATGCATTTGGCCTCCACGCTGGTTAGCGTCAGGTGTAGCAGACAGCAATCTGCTGGCAAAGACAGCAGTGATTTGAAGTTCCACTGAAACCCTGTTTGCAAATAACATGTTGGATTTTTTAATTTCCTAACTCTTTGCTGCCCATATAAGGATTTTTGCAGGAGAGGATTCAGCTGCATGAATTCTAGCTTTGCTGAGCATTTGTCTGGCTGCTATAAAAGCTTTCTCTGCAATCAGGGATGGGAGAGGGCAGAAGGGGAGATGAGTAGCATGAGTAGCATGGACAGATTGTGGCATGACTTTGACCCTAATTCCTTTCTGGCAGCATCAGCCTGGTCCCTGATCTTTGAGAAACATGTCCCCGTTGATCTGAGCTATTTCTGGGTTGCAGAGCAGAACAATATTAGTGGCTCAGAAATTTGGCAGTTTGCACCAAGGTCCTCAATGCAGACACCCTGAGCACTTGCTTTTCTCTGGCTGGGCCCCTTGAAATCAAGGCTGTGGTTTGCACTTGGTGGATAAAATCTTGGTAGTGCAAATCTGACCCCACAGATCAGATTTGTCCTTCTGAACTCAGGAAGAATGAGACTAGGACAGCCCTCACCCAGAAGGAAAACTCCTCTTCCTTAGGTAGACCAAAAGAGAAGCAAAGGAACAACCAGAGAACTGATTGGCAAGGAAAAGGAGTGATGGCTGGATGGCCAGCAGTGGGAGAAGCCCTGCACCGTGCATCCAGCATCTCCACTCAAATATCTAGTAAAACACGCCATGCCTCCTAAAAGAATCCAGGAGAACTGTCACCTATGTGGAAGAGTCTTGGAGGATTGAAGGTAGTCCTGGGGGTGGCAGGGAGTCCTTGGACCCTGTAGAGCTGCTGCCTGATAGCTCTGCCCAAGAGTTTGGAGCAGCACTGCAGGTGTCGGGGTGTCCTCCATGCAGAGGTCCAAGGCAGAATGATGCTCCCTCCCCATGGCTCTATGTAACAACTCTGTTTCTCTGTGCTGGTTTGGTGGAAGAGAAGGAGGGAGGAGAGCAAAAGAGAGAGAGAGAGAAAGAGAGAGAGGAGAAAAAAAAAAAAAAAAAGCAGTCTGGCAGAAGGAAGAGAGGAGGCAGAGCTCAGCTGCCCACGGCTGCCTCCAGCCCAGCCTTCCTCAAGTGCAGCCCAGAGCAGCATCCCGGGTCAGTAAGGATGGCGGGGGAGAGGAGGGGTGCTCCCCGGAGCAGAGAGAGATGGAGTTATCTTTGGGGAGAGGGTTGGCAATCACTGCAAATTCTCTGCTCGGATAAGAGGAAGGGGCACCCTGCAGGCAGAGGGCACCAGCAATGGGGGGCGGTGGCACTGTCTCTCCGCCCTGCCCCGGTCTCAGATAAGACCCTCTTGGCATGTAGACACATAGAGATGGATGGGAATGGGAACATACCAGTGTGGGGACTGCAGCATGAGGCTGTACCCTGTGCCAAGGGGACTAGCTGGGGTAGGGGTGTCGGGGGAGTGTGCTGATTCTCTTTCTTGCAAAGGGTTAACTTGAAAGCAAAACAACCCCCTCAAACCTCTTCTTTTTCTCTTCCCTCCTCGCTCCCCTTCCCTTTTTTTTCCAGGTGTTGTTTATGGCCACAGGAGGGAGCTCAAATCCAGACATGGGAAGATTGGCTTGATTTCATATCCAGAGCCTCTTAAACTCTCACTTTTCCGCTAAGCTGATCCCTGTTATGTCCAGGATCTGGCACCTGCTTGACATTTACTTTGAGTTCCAGAGGACCAGAGACCTAGGATGAGGAGCATTGGATCTGCCCTGAACCTGCTTTTGGTATCGCCACTCTACTTTGTGTGGACCGTGGTCGCTCTGGACCTGGCACAAACTCCCTGCACCACTTTGGTCCAGGGGAAATTCTTTGGGTATTTCTCCTCCTTCGCTGTCTTCCCATTGAACTCCTCTATCTGTTCTTGGATTATCCAGAACCCTGACCCTCGGAGGTACACCTTGTACATGAAGATCCTGAAACCTACCAGCGTATGTGACTACCAGCACATCCGCACCTACCAGTTTGACTCCTTCCTGGAGTCCACCCGCACCTACCTGGGCATGGAGAGCTTTGATGATGTGTTGAAGCTCTGTGATGGGTCCACCCGCTATGCCTTTCTCCAGTCCAACAAGCAGTTCCTCCAGATGAAACAGACCACACCACCAGGACTGGAGAGCGGGCCCATGCAATGGAAGCCCATGAAGGCTCAGGAGAGGGACTTTTCGGTGGAGTACCTCGTGGTGGGCAACAGGAACCCTAGCAAAGCTGCTTGCCAGATGCTCTGCAAGTGGCTGGATGCGTGCTTGGCCATCAGCAGCAGCTCCCACCCATGTGGCATTATGCAGACTCCGTGTTCTTGCTCAGGAGGCGAGGTCCTAGATCAGGCCAGTGAGATTCCAGGGTTCACGAAGAAGAAGGAAGATTGCTATAAGGATGGGATTTACTTGGAGAACTGCATGAGCAGCCCAAAGGACAGCAGTGGCGTGGAGTCCCTGGGTAAGTGGAGTGCGACTACCTACCTGGAGGTGTTTGGGAGGAAGGGCTAGTTTGTGTCTCTCTCCTGGGTTCTTTACTGTCCCGGTCATCCTTGTATCTGAGTCTATGGATGCCTGGTATGAAAACCTTCTTTTCTCATTGATAAGCAGGTCTGATAATCCCCAGTGGCTTTTTATTAGTGTATATCTGGGATGTAGAGCAACTTCCCCTGAATGTGTCCCAGATTGGTGCCTTGTTTATTTTACTTATCCTGCAGTCTCAGAGCTGCAGAGAAAAGAGTCTTAACCTGAAATCAAGCAGCTTTCCAACATAAAAATATTCTAGAAGAGCCAGAATCCAAGTTACCTCCCAAGGCAGGTGTCACTCAGTAGCCCTATCACCTATTCTAGTTCATGGGAAACACCTTGCAGGCCAACAGAAAGCATGTTCATTTTGCCTTAGCCTCTTTTTCCTTCTGGACACTTTCAAAAAAAAAAAAAAAAAAAACACCCTCCCACACCAAATTAAGTGCTGCTTGCTGCTTGCACAGGTTTACTAGGTGCCTTCTCTGTGGCTCATTCCTCAGGTTTTTCATTTTCTCCACAATTTCAGTGAGTGTGGCAGAGACTGTGTCTGCTGGGAGACACTGGAAGGACCTGTGGAGGCAGAGGGGGCATGACAGAAAGGAGGAAGAATTAGGATGAGATGCTCCTGAGAGCTGATCTCTGCGTGTGTCACAGCTGCATAACCTTTCTCATGTAATTCTTGGGGTGGAAATGTCCTTCGTGGCAGTCTTCACCGTACGATGCCATGCAAAGTAGAAGGTAACCGGAGGGCCAGAAAGCAGAGCTGCTATTTTAGTGCCTGTGTCAGATCCACTCTGATATATTTATTCTTGGTTCCCGTCCCACCTGCCAGCAGGCAGGTTATGTAAAATGGAGGTGTGATCCTAAATAGGAGTCCAGGCAGGAGCAGGAGGAAGCCTTCAATTTTATAAAGTTCAGATGTGCTCCGGAATGACACCCCAGGGTCTTGTCTCCCCAAAATGCCAGATTCAAATGCCCTTTGCTATCAAAAGGTGGGTTGTACATGTCTGGTTCTGGACTTGGTTGTTTCTGCCTGGCTTTAGCCCACTCACTCAGGAGAGAAGTTCTGCATGTTTCTGTGATGGAAAGAAGCCAGATTCACTCACACAAGAGGAAGGAGGTTTTCAGGCACAGGTCCAAGCTGTGCAGGGTGATTTTCTTGCAGACCTCAGTTTGGAGTTAGCCGAGCGATTAGTATATGATCGGGTTTTAGTGCTTCCGTCAGTGTATTTTGGGGGGAGATTTTGTTTCTCACTGATCTGTGAATCGAGCCGTCGCGGAGGCGTAAATCCTGCAAAGCAGGATTTCAGTGGTGCCTCGTTCCCTGGTTATGAGCGCACTGCGATATTTGCTCCTCACATCTCAGGTTTCTTTGCAATGTCCTTTCCTCCTCTGTGAGCAGCATGTGCCGGGTACCATGCAGCCGTCTCTTTGGAGTGACACAAGCCCCTCAAGTCATGTGTCGAGCTTCGTATCTGCTGATTAGGAGATTTATGGATTCAGCCCAAGCAGCATGACCTTTTCCATTGCAGCCAAAGGTGAAATTTTAAATAAGATTTTCAGCACATCCTGGAGCATTCAAGCTTAATATTGGCTTTTGTAAACATCTCTCCCAGATCAACTTGAGCACTCGAGTGTTCCTAGGAAACAAACATGAAAGAAACTCCGAGGTAGTTAAACCAAAACTCTTTTTGGGAGTCAAATATTTATAGAGTGCAGATAATTTTTTTTGCTGTCTTCTCACATCTGCCCTGCATTGAGGATGCAGAATTAACATCTTCATGAGTAGAATGCCATCCACATGGAAACAATGCTCACAGGATGCCCAGGATCTCTACGTGCTGCTCTGTCTGCCGCTCCGTCTGTTTTGATATTTTTGCAAAGGCTTGTTCAGGAAGATGGAGGCGAGACACAATTTGGATGCAGCACCAGTGATCTTTTAACAGTATTTTGTGGGTGGAACATTTTGAGAGAGTTCCCAAATTCCTAGCACTGTTAGTGGTGGTTATTGCTGTTATTGTTGTTCTGATTGTATTTGTAACAGTTTAGGGTTTTTTTGCAAGCTTTTTAGTTTTTTTTTTTTCTTGCTGCTTCCTGAGTCATTTGTTGCTTCTGAGCCTATCTGTTGACACTTCCATCTTCTAACATGTGTACATGTGTGCTGTACCGGCCTAGTCTGGAGAATTTTGAGGCAAGCGAAAAAAAAAAAAAGGAAAAGTCAAGTAACTAAATACCATCCCCAAATATGGAACCTGACTCTTCCTGGTGTCCCTCTTCTATATCTGGGACATTTTCAAAGCAAGTGGATGGGTGTAAATTTACTAATGCTAAAATGAAGCACTGCTTGGGAAGGAGAAATGATGCTTCTCTGGGTGATGCTGTGGCTCAGAAAATACATGACAGACCTTCAAAAATGTGCCATGACCATGTTGGGTCAATGGCAACCCTAAGGATGGAGAATGCATGTGCCTGGATTTCATGTTTTCATCTTCCTGCTTTTTGAAGTCACTCAAGAACAGCCCAAGAATAGATCAGGTAGGCTGGACTTTGGCTTCCATGACTGAAGAACAGACCAAGAGATACAAAATCCTCTGCTGACCAAGCTATGGCTAAGAAGACACTGACCTTGCCACTCCAGAGCAAGCTCCAGCAAAAGATTGGACCCTGCTTATAAAATCCCTTTTAACAATGACCAAGTTCTGCCTCAAAGGACTGGGTGTTTTTTGTTGTTGTTGTTTTTTTTTGTTGTTGTTGTTGTTTGTTTGTTTTCACTGGATTTTCTCATTTGCCATCAGCGCTGTGACATGAACAAACCTAATTTCCAGTCTAATTTCACTTGTAGTCGATGGTGCACGTATATAGGGACGTTTGTGGACATTCAGAGCAATACTCAACAAAGCAACTCAGCCTTCATCCCATAAAAGACAACACCATCAGAGATCTGTTTGGGTGAAAATATTTATTTAATTAATCCTAAAGTTGCTTGGTGATCCCCAACGTAGATGCTGCAGAGGTTACTGCAGGCGGTGGTGGGGGTGGGAAGAATCTGTCAGGGTGCAGAGGCAGCAGCAGATATTTCGGTGTCTTACTGCACAGGGAGCAGCATCATCCTGATGATCAGGATGCATTTGGAGATGTATTGGCAGCTGCAACTCACCTGCCAATTCTCCTGTCCTTGCTACAGTTACCTCGAGGTGCTGAACCATGAGGGCTTTGAAATGGGGGAATATCTCTAGAGGAAGACTATTAAATGGGAAAAATTTGGGGCAGCATCAGTCTTCCAACAGCTGGTCCAAGCAAGGCAGACAGAACCTACCAAGGAAAGAAGAAGGCAGAAACCAGATGTAAGTTCTGATGCTTATAGGTGGATCATCCTTTGGGATTCCAAGCTGGGATAGGCTCACTTGAAGGAGAAGGGTAGGGGCCTTGGAGGGCTGTGGTTTGGAGAGATTCTACAAACAAGGGGCCCCATGACAATCAGAAGGGATGAAAATCCTGGTGGACTTCCAAGATGTGAGCTGGCTTCCCTGTAAACGGAGCTGGAGCTTTAAATGGGATTCTGATGTGACACTGTAATGAAAGAAGGTTAAGTGGGTGCTTAAGTGCTGTGTTGAGTTAGGCACTTAATGAATGACTAATTAGTTCTGTCTCAACGTCATCTGCTCCTGGAAGGCTGTTATAGTACTCTCCAATTGGTGGCCCAAAAACATAACCGGCATGAGCTAGCCCTTCCAGTCTTCGCAAACCTTTTCCAGGGGCTCCGAGATGCCAATTGAAAAATGGGGTTAATTGTGTGCCCCTGAAATCTGTTATTATCTACTGGTGAAGTAGATGAAGAGTCATTTCATTCAGGGCTGGAAGGACTTTTATGATGAATGAGCCTGATCTGTTACATATCTCTGCCAGAGAATTTCACCTATGCATTCAAGAAAATAACCAAAATTATGATTGAAACAATGCTCTCTAGTTTTCAGAAAGCATTCAGTCAGGATATTGCTACTTCTGAGTGCTAGAGATTTTCCTGCCTTTCTTGTTAAAATTCCCATTGCTTAATTAAGTCCATTACTCTGAAAAAATACAGCCCATCCTCCCAGACGCACAGTCCCTCACTTCGCTTCTGCTTTTTAGTGGTGTTTTACCTTCCAACCCTTTACATGTCTTTGACTCTTAGATTAAGAAGTCATCTAGCACTCATTCTTTACTATCTGGAGTGCTATTTATAGACCCACAAACAAGTGGCTTTTTAAACTTGGCTGCGCGAAGTACACTGAACTCCATAAATTTGTCACTGCAGGACATGCTCTCCAGATCTCACCTTGTTCTTGAGAGTTCTGCTTCATGTCCAGTTGGTTCAAACAGACTCAGTGTGATGTTTTCACAGCAGGTCTGGGCTTCTGCCTGGAGCCCCTGGTATGGAAAAGAGGCCAGAGGCATAGAGTCAAATGAAACAACCAGTTTCCTCCTTGCTACAGAAATCACATTTTGTGGCATGACTTCCCATGAAGCCCCACCCTTCACCAGAGCTGAATCATTTGTTAAGTCATTCCTTGTATTGTGGTGAGCATTTGTAACCATGAAAGTTCAGGGACTGGCAAAAGAGCTGTGAGTAATTGCCCAAGGGCAGACAAGCAAGCCTCTCTGTTGATCGCTTCAGTTCTTCCTTAGGACCCTTGGCTCTGTCCACCTAGGCTTGTGAAAAAGGAAGCCCAGATTAAGCCTCATTTTTGGATTTGCCAACCAAAGGGCAGAGGGAGTTGAATGGATGCAGTTTCTTTGCCTCTCCTTCCTTCTGCCATAGACCTGCTGTCTGGACTTGGGGGAGATGCGATGTTCTCCAGCTTCTTGCTGTCCCGTCATTTTTTGCCCAGTTGCTAGGTCTGTGTATCCATCAGAGCCTGGCTATGACACACTGAGACATCACCAGCAAAACATGGG